CCCCCCCCTCACCTTTCACTGCTGCACTTTGGAGGGACGGTTGCGTGGGGGCGAGCGTGTGTGTTTGGAGGAAGCCCTGCGGATCAGACGCTGTTGTGCGATTGCCTTTCCCGTTGGTGAGGGTTATGACGCTTTTGTGGCGGTAGCTTCTAGCTCTTTTTGTGGACTTCAACTCCCATGCTGGCTGGGGCATTCTGGGAGTTGAAGTCCGCGGGTCTTAAAAGCGGGCGGACACACGTGGCTTAGACCTGATGAAAGTGCCTTATTCAAGCTCTTGCAAGAAATGCATCAGAGGTTAAGGAAAGGGCTCTCTTGAGTTGTGGGTTGTGCTTCAGTGTAGCTCCACTTTGCGATCTCTTGTCCGTGGTGGTTTCCTTCTTGGTTGCCCACAAAACCTGATTAGAAATGGACGAGAGCCTCTCCTTGCTTCTGGGTGTGAACTTCCTTTAACTCGGGGGTCTCCAAACTTGGCAACTTTAAGACTTGCTGGCTGGGGAATTCTGGGAGTTGAAGTCCACAAGTCTTAAAGTTGCCAAGTTTGGAGGCCTCTGCTTTAACGTCATGGATGTGACTGCGTTGTGTTACAAGCAATAGACCTTTTGGTCCCAAGCTCCTGGTGTCTCCTTTTCAGACACGACGACTGTGCTTCCTACACAGGTATCTCTCCCTCCCACCTTCACTCAGAAGTCCCCTTCAGTCACTGGTTACATCAAAGGACTTCAAACTTGGCAAGTTTCAGACTTTGTGGACTTCAACTCCCAGAATTCCCGAGCTCACATAACCCGGAGGAGGAATTCTGGGAGTTGAAGTCCACAAAGTCTTAAAAGCTGTCAAGTTTGGGTTATAGGAATGTTGAAATGGAGATTGCTGGTTTATTCTTGAGACCTATCGGATCTCAACGGCGTCAAAAAAAAAAAAAGTTATTTGGGGAATCGATTGGCGCTTATTTTTCCCCCGCTCGAGTTTATTTTAGGATGTTTACATCTCAGTTTGCTGTTTACAGTTTAACTGTTTCTGAGTTAAAAGGATTGAAGTGAGGTTTGCACTTTGACCCCGGCCCATTCACAGAGCCTTCCTTCCTTCCTCCCCCTCCCCCACCCCACCATCATCTTCATCATCTCTGCTTTCCATTGCATGGAGTGGCAAGAGAGCCTGGCATCGAAGCGGGCATCTGGCGTCTCGACAGCTTTTCTAAGGGTACCACGTTCCACCCACACCTCTCCCCTCTTTGTACGTCGGGCCCTAATCTGCCAATTTCTCCTTTTTTTACATGTTGCAGCTGCTTCTCTGTTTGAATTAAAAAGAGTCCATCATGAGTTAGTTCTGTATCATCGAGAAACGAAGTTTGAACTCGCCTTTGACTTCGATCAGATTTGAGGCCAGTCGCGGGGGATTACGCTCCCTTGATGACCTGTGGACTTCCAACTCCCAGAATTCCCGAGCCAGCCATACCGTGACTGGCTCAGGAATTCTGGGAGTTGAAGTCCACAGGTCATCCAGGGGATGTAGTTCTCCACTGGTTCTAGCCACCACCACCACCACCCCAAAAAAAAGAACTCTTGGCGAAGTTGTACATTAGTATCTCTTCCAACGTAAAACAAGAGGACTTTCTCTTACTCTTGAGTAGTTAAACTTAGTTTTTACAAAGACTACAGCTGCTGTTTCCTCAGTCTGGATTGTAGAGAGCTTTGGGGTAGGATATCATTCTTGACCAACCCAACGCATGACATTCCTGGTTATAAGTCTTCCTTCCCACCAGCTTTGGAGCAGCTGGATACCTAGGTAGCAATAGATGTCGCTAGCCTAAGGCGCGATAGCCCTTGGCCTAGTGAGGGAAGACCGGCCATCAACCACTGTTGATGTTGGCCAAGATCTAGGGTGTCCAACTCAACTGGGGAGGGTGAGGGGTGGAATCATAATTGTTGAGTTGCCGTTAGGAACTAGAAGTATAACATCTGGAGATCAACAGCGTGAGAGCTGAAGACTGCCTGGGGCATTCTTTGTTCAATAATTTATGGCTTTCTCTTTCTATTTGCGCCGGAAACAGCTTTCTTCCAGGAAAGGGGGGGATTTAAATACCACCCACCTTTTAATTCTGGCTTTCTCCTCACCCTTTCTTTTCAGGCGGCTCTTCTCCTTTAATAAGTTTAACAGTTCTCACCTAATTCGACCACACTTTCTCTTTCCTTCTTTATCCCACCGGAGACTGTGCCAGCCTTGTCGCGGTTCGCAATGACCGCTTTCCCTTTGAGTCGACTGGAGAGGCTATATCTCTGGATCAACCAGGGATATTGCGGTCTCCCTGGGATCGGCAGACTGTCCTCTCCTCGATTGTCGTTCCTCCGGAAAATTTAGGTCCAATGGACCACCAGCTCTTGAGATTTCAACATCCTCCCGAGGAGCTCCGAAGGATTCCACCGTGACGTCAGCTCCGCCCTCTCTGCCTGGGGCATTCAGATACCCCACTCCCCATCATGAGGACTACCCTCTCTGCAAGTTGGTTACTTTCTAGGCTGCCTTGACCTTCCCAACTGAACCCATGCAGAAGCGGGAGGGACCCAAGCCCTCAGGATTTCCACTTCTCCAGATGTTGTGCTGAAGAGTTGAGGTGCTCCTCCTTGGCTTCGCAATCTCCTAATACCTTTGCTCCGTCACCTTCCCACCTAGTGCCTCTGGGGCATCTTGAAACACACTGCCAGAGTCCTTTTATAGAGCAATAATCCTTGTTTTTTTTTTAAATCTTTTGTTTGTGTGTGTGCAAGAGAGAGAGAGAGATTGATTCCAATTTGAACCTCTTGTCTTTGTCCTCCTCAACGTATCGCAGTATCTAGCTATCATCTTGGATTTAAGTCTTTTCAGTAGTCTGGTGGGTTTTACTAGCCCATAGAAACGGCTGACCCAAACAGGCTGTCAGGAATGGGGTTGTATCTGGTTTTCCAGTGACCAAATGGTTAAATCTGAGAGCGTAGCGTTGTGTTGCGGGCTGGGGACATTCCTTCAAAATTAGACTTTTAGCTAGCCCCTGGTTTTGTTGTGCCCTGATGGGTGAACAACTGCTAGATCTTCTCCTTGGTGGCCTGGGGACACTACATATATCAGGGGATGTCTCACCTTGGCAACTTTAAGACTTAGGGACTTCAACTTCCAGAATTCTGGGAGCTGAAGTCCACAAGTCTTAAAAGTTGCCCAGGTGAGACAGCCCCGATATATACCATGAGCCCAGTGTTCCTAAATGAGAGAAGATGACTTGGACAGACATCTAAAAGCTTGCCTTTTGAGCATCTGGTACGATTTCTCTCTGGGGCTTTGGTCGGTTCCTGAGAGAGAAGAAATCTTTGGAGGGGCACCCTGAGGCAAACAGCTGCTCTCAACCTGCACAGAATTTAAAACGACGGTTGCAAAAAGTTATCGGAAGTTAATGGCTGGATCCCTCATTTTAAAATATAAATAAATTGGACATCACTTCCTGGAATTACCTGGCTTGGATTAACACGATGGGAAAGCTACCTCACTCCTTGCAGTTGAGTAGACGCTGGGTGTCTCTTCTCTTGTGTTCTTGGTTCCAAAGTTGTACACCTCTTGTGTTGCGCTGTGCACAGTGGCCCAAAAATCTTTTTTGCCGTGTTGAGTTGGAAGAACCTG